CAAGTTTTCTGTTTTTAAATAACCAACTTAAGTGTATTATGTTTAGTAAACCGGTTAAAACAAATTTAACTGAATACAAAATAGTGCAAAAAATGACAAAATATAAGTGTTTGATTAAATCTACACATCCAATATTAGATTTTAAACATTTGAGGCGTCTTTGCAGGAACAGTGGTTCTCAGTTCACCAAAAATGACCCAAAGCTSAGAGGATGCTTGAGGTCACATGAAGAAAAATTAGTAATTTTCTCAGGAAAATCACATTATCATCATTTTTTTAAAATCAAATCAATACCAGAGCTTTTATAYTCAGCAATATGGGTTTCGAATTAAAATTGAAAACTTTTACAGGGCGGGGGTGGGTTCAGATTAAACAACAACTGTTATTGTCCTGGGTTAGATGGAGGCAAACTGTTGTAAAAGTTGAATAAAAGTGTGCTATTGGGAGGAACAAATCAGATTTTATTTATTTATTTTTTAATCTGAACTGAAGGATCAATAATGTTTTTATGACTTGGAAAAATGCTCCTACTTTTAAAAATAAATGAAACCTTTTTTTTAAATTCAATTTTAAATAATTTCAAAACAACACAGGATTAAAATATTTTTGCATGATTATGAAAAACAAATAACATAAAAACCTGTTAAGCAGGTGTAGTATAAGGATGTTTTTAAAAGGTTTTACCCGAGTGTCTGTAGAAAGTCATGTTTGGTTCCAGTCAGGCAGAACAACCAGCAGGAGATGTAAAAATCCACAGCGGGTCAAAGCAGGAAACCTGGAGCATCATGTTATGGAGGCCTGTTTATACCCCTCTGTGACCCAAACCAAGCCCTGAGCCCCCACATCTAAACCCCTCCGGTCCTTATAGGGAATGCATGTGAGGGCAGATTAGGTGATACGATGAATTCCTCCGCAGTCACATCAGGTGTTTAAAAAAAGAGAAAAACTCAAGCTAAAGGTTTTGTCCGTYGAGGATAACGGAAACTCCCCGCCTGCTGATGTGAGACGTCTGTTCAGACATGTTGGATCAACTTAGAAAAGAGACGATTCATTACCTGTAATCTGCAGGGTTTCACCCAAAAAGAAAATAAAACACAGCTGCAGGCAACACCTTAAACAGAAAGGCAGATTAGTTTAAGATTAAGCATTTTATGAGGTTTAATCCATGATTTTATTGCTTTAAAAAAGTCAGCTCTATTAATCTGTTTTCTTATTTAGATGGTATTCGATGATCTTTATTTGGTACTAATGCAGTTTTGTCAACACATGTCTAATTTTATATAAAGAACAAGTGGGGGGAACAGCTAACCAAAAGGTTAGCTTCACTAAGCACTAATCCGCTAACACTAAACAGACCCTGATATGAGGATTCAACTGCTCTCTCAGAACTTACATGTTCTGAGGAAATTATTTTCAAGATCTTCTCTTTTCGGAACAAATATCTTCTTTGTGCAAATAAATGACAAAACACAATAAKATGAGCGTATTTTTTGGGGTCCAAAAAATAAGTGGAAGTTAACGCTAAGACAACTGTCCCTCCTTTCAGTTGAAGATGGTAGAAATGACACAAAGGGGTTCTTAGGTTTTTATTGGTTTAATTTGAAGGTGAATGGGATCATCTGTGAGATACTTCCAGCTTACCCCTTTCAGAATAAAAGCATTTATTTGATCAGGTTTGTTTTTTTTAATAGTTTGAAGTTAGTCAAACAAATGGCAAATACTTTCTCTACCATGTTTTATACATAGTACTTGTATTCATTATTTAAAGGTTGTTTTATTTATTTTTGACGCTCTTAACTTGAAGTTTTCCTGCTAAAGATGCTACATGCACGGCGCCTGACTCATCCCTGCTGGTA